CCCCTGAGTTCACACCACCTACGTGTATGCAAGAATATATCAGTATGTATTAACCTTTAATCATTTCATGTAGGATCCACGGTCTTCACTCCGGTCCATGGAGCTCTTCGATCCAATAGAGCAGGAACTGCCTCCAATAGAGATGAGATTTTACTTCTTCATCTCTTGTTTAGAATGAAGCAGATGAGCCCCTTGCAGGAGGACAACATTCCCTCAGGTTTTGCATAAATCACATGCACAGAGACTACACTGGTTATTGGATAGAGAATGAGATCTCACAAAATCTCATTCTATTGTCCCTCTTAACTACTGTATGTAGCCATTATAATAGGTAGAAGGATGAAAACAGCTGCTTCCATTCCAGCCATGGCCCCAGTCATCGGGTACATAGATGGATGGCTGAGAATGGTTGGTCTGGATTCTCACCACAGGGTGTCCGTTATCTAATCTGCACATACAGTATCAAATTAGAACACCAATATATTTATTCCATTCCTCTTTGAATGATTAAATCTCAGAAACCAGCTGAGGCCTCAAGAATGATTAATGTACCCAGGCTGAAATGAGAGTGCCTCTGATAGTGAGATAATGAGAAAAGGAAAGAAGACAAGGAAGCACAAAGAGATTATTTATTCAAATGCAAAAGAACAGGCCGAAACACAGGTATCCTAAATTAGTGTTAACCATCTTGAATTCATAGCATGGATCACTGCAGTTGTTCAACTTTTACTGGTCATCTTATTCAGCTTGGGGACTGCTGATGGAAATGTCCTTCATTTAAACAACTCTCATTACGAGTGAAATAATGAAATTGGTAGTAAGACTTGAAATTACATTTACTACAAAAGTAAGCACAGAGAAGGCATGGCAGTAAAGGTTTACAGCTAAGTTCATTTGCTGTGCTGTACTGTAAGTCCTGCAGCCTAGAGAGCATAAGTGCACTTTTCAATCTCTTCATAGTTACAGCTGCACAGTGAACATTAGCTGGAGGCAGCTGAACATATAGTATATAACAAAACTCAGTACACCCCTGTACCATATCACTACAACCTTAAATGATTCAAAACTGTACCATCTTATTTTGTCTTATTTGATATGTAATAAAAAAAAAACTGGCTAAACAGACTAAATACATATGGGCCTCAACATGTCAATGTGATCATTGTGATTATTGCAACAAAAGGCAATTTACCTGTGACTGCTGCAACACAAACAATTGTGCCTGTGATTTCCAAACCATTTTCCATTCTTTATTAAAAATAGGGTGTCGTGTCCAATAACATCACTGATGACAGTGCTCAGAGTGAACCAAAACAGCAAAGTTGTGGACTATAGAATGAAAACAGTGAAGGATGCTAAAAGCCCAGCTGTAAGGAGAACTTCAGAGTCCAATGACAAACTAATTCTCATTCAAAAATATGAGCATCACCTTTCTCATTTTGCTGCCCTCATTACTGTAGCTTTAAATCTGCAATAATGGCCTTTTTCACTGCCTGGGGACTCAATATTGACATATCTTCACCTTTTAAGTTGAATTTGTGAACCTGTCAGCAAGCAGTTGCTTATTTACACACCCAGCAGTTACAGAGCATTATTGCCATTTGGAGTCACGTGTCTGGTCATCAGGTCCAATATATACAGTACTTTCTTTTAGCTCTGTTTTTGGTCTCCACCAACTCCAAAATATCTGATTCTTAATCTACGAACTGCTTGAGTATGTTCACCAGTTAGCTGCTAGCACCAAGCCTCGTCCACAAACAGTGTGTACACACAATTCTGTGCTGAAACCGTGTATACAAACAATTTATGCACAATTTTATTCAATATTCTGTATCAATATTTTCTTACCTTAATTTGTTCATACTCTGTGAACAAATTTAATACTGCCTCACCCCATGTGTATGAACAAATGATGAAGGCCTGGCTGGCTAAAAAATGCAAACACATTTTAACTGAAACTATATTAATTAAAAAGGTTTTAATAGCTAATATAATTGATTAATATAATTTAAGGCTATAATGATTAATTTACTAATGCATTGACCAAATGTAGCATATTAAATAAACATGAAATTAATGCCCTGTCATTCTGATTAATCACAGTTTTAATTGAAATAAATTAAATTTAAAAAACTGTTCTAGTTTATAAGTATATAGAGAAATGGGGGCATGGCAGCAGGCTACTTGAAAACCACTGGAATGCGCCTGTCATTTTAGAATGATTCTGATTTACACTAACATACACACAATAGAAAGAACAAAATTGGCTGGTGTCATGAATATGATGGTAATGTCTCCTGCACTTATTTTGTGCACAAGGTAAGAACATTTCTATGCGCATGTTAGTGAATAAGGTCCACTGCCTGTCTGCCGTTTGGTGTTTACAGTCTTATGCAAAAGTTTAGGCACCCCTTGATACATAACAGATTTTGGTGATTTTTTATTTGAACAGATGTTAACACAGTTTCTCTTGGAAATGGAAAAAATGCACAATATTTTCTGCAAACAGTGATGCATAGTTACTTCTTATGCCATAAATTGAACAAAAATAAAAAATAAAAACATTATTATGGCATGGTGCAAAAGTTTGGGCACCCTACACAATCAGTACTTAGTAACACCTCCTCTGGCAGATATCACAGCTTGCAAACGCTTTTCATAGCCAGCTAAAAGTCTTTCAATTCTTGTACTTGGGATCTTCTCCCATTCTTCCTTGCAAAAGGCTTCTAGTTCTGTAATATTCTTTGGTCGTCTTGCATGCACAGCTCTTTTAAGATCTACCCACAAATTTTCAATGATGTTTAAATCAGGGGACTGTGATGGCCATTCCAAAACCTTCAGCCTGCGTCTCTTGAGGTATTCCATAGTGGATTTCGAGGTATGTTTAGGATCATTGTCCTGTTGTAGAAGCCATCCTCTTTTCAGCTTCAGCTTTTTTACAGATGGTGTGATGTTTGCTTCCAGAATTTGCTGGTATTTAGTGGAATCCATTCTTCCCTCCACCCGTGCAATGTTTCCTGTGCCACTGGCTGCAACACAACCCCAGAGCATGATAGATCCACCCCCATGCTTAATAGTTGGCAAGGTGTTCTTTTCATGAAATGCTGCTCCTTTTTTTCTCCAAACATGCCTTTGCTGATTGTGTCCAAAGAGTTCTATTTTAACTTCATCAGTCCACAGCACTTGTTTCCAAAACGCATCGGGCTTCTGTAGATGTCCTGTTGCATACTTCAGACGTTGGATTTTATGATGGGGACGCAGATAAGGTTTTCTTCTGCTGACTCTTCCATGAAGGCCTTGTCTGTGCAAGCATCGCTGCACAGTGGAACGGTGCACCACCACTCCTGAGTCTGCTAAATCTTCCTGCAGGTTTTTTGCAGTCAAATGGGGGTTTTGATTTGTCTTTCTGACCAGCATACGAGCAGTTCTGTCCGAGAGTTTTCTTGGTCTTCCAGATCTCATCTTGACCTCCACAGTTCCCCTGATCTGCCATCTCTTATTTACATTTCTTACTGTGGAAACTGCAAGCTGACAACGCTTTGCTATCTTCTTGTAGCCTTCTCCTGCATTGTGGGCGTCAATAACTTTCATTTTCAGGGTCTTACACAGCTGCTTAGAGGAACCCATGGTTGCTGGGTGTCCACAAGTGTGTGCACAAGGTTTGAAGAGTCAAAGTATTTGTACAGCTTTGAAATTGGCATTTACCAATGACAGCTGTTGCTGTGCATCAGATCTAACGAGCTGATTAAGGTCTGATACCTTGTGAGAGACTTTGAGACTCTGGAACTCTTAGGGTGCCCAAACTTTTGCACCATGCCATAATAATGTTTTTATTTTTTATTTTTGTTCAATTTATGGCATAAGAAGTAACTATGCATCACTGTTTGCAGAAAATATTGTGCATTTTTTCCATTTCCAAGAGAAACTGTGTTAACATCTGTTCAAATAAAAAATCACCAAAATCTGTTATTTATCAAGGGGTGCCTAAACTTTTGCATAAGACTGTATGGTGAAGTAGTTAAGGGCCAAAAAACATACGTAAGAATAATAATAAAGACCAGGAAAACATACTGTGGATGCTTCATAGCATCCACACAATAATAAAGAAGGGGATAAGAGTGTGGATGCTACAGCATCCACACAATAAAGAACAGGAGAGCATAGTGTGGATGCTTTACAGCATACACACAATAATTCAGCTGAACATAAGGAGAAGGAGGAATACAAGGAGAGGGAGAGGCCTATCTGTTAACCTACTAGCTGCATGTTAGCCTGTTGGCTGTGGGTTAGCTGTGTGTTAGCCTGTTAGCTGTATGTTAGCCTGCTGGCATGTTAGCAGTGAGCTAGCTTGTTACCTGGCTACGGTCTCTGGTGCTGCTGTACCGGATCTTCTGGATGAAGTAGAAGATGAGCCAAGCAGACAAGATGATCATGAGGACAATAAAGGAGATGGAAACAAAAACCAGTGAGCCTCGGCTAATGTTCTTAATGGGACCACGTTGTCCCACCACTGAGACCAGGACCGTCAGGTTCCTCTCCAAGTGCGACAGGATCTCTTTACCATACGCCTCCGTGATCATCACTGCCACCGTGTCTCCAGTACCTGCAGACAGAATCAGAATCACAATCAGGATCAAGGACCAGGACTAGATCCAGAACAATCAGGGCCTGCTTTTACTAGTGTCTCAGAATTACTCCTAGGAATCACTCTGAAAGCTACAGTGCCTTGCGAAAGTATTCGGCCCCCTTGAACTTTGCGACCTTTTGCCACATTTCAGGCTTCAAACATAAAGATATAAAACTGTAATTTTTTGTGAAGAATCAACAACAAGTGGGACACAATCATGAAGTGGAACGAAATTTATTGGATATTTCAAACTTTTCTAACAAATAAAAAACTGAAAAATTGGCCGTGCAAAATTATTCAGCCCCCTTAAGTTAATACTTTGTAGCGCCACCTTTTGCTGCGATTACAGCTGTAAGTCACTTGGGGTATGTCTCTATCAGTTTTGCACATCGAGAGACGGAAATTTTTGCCCATTCCTCCTTGCAAAACAGCTCGAGCTCAGTGAGGTTGGATAGAGAGCGTTTGTGAACAGCAGTTTTCAGTTCTTTCCACAGATTCTCGATTGGATTCAGGTCTGGACTTTGACTTGGCCATTCTAACACCTGGATATGTTTATTTGTGAACCATTCCATTGTAGATTTTGCTTTATGTTTTGGATCATTGCCTTGTTGGAAGACAAATCTCCGTCCCAGTCTCAGGTCTTTTGCAGACTCCATCAGGTTTCCATCCAGAATGGTCCTGTATTTGGCTCCATCCATCTTCCCATCAATTTGAACCATCTTCCCTGTCCCTGCTCTGAGGTGGGAGACTCTGTCCATAGGACAACAATCAGTCGTATACTGCACAAATCTGGCCTTTATGGAAGAGTGGCAAGAAGAAAGCCATTTCTTAAAGATATCCATAAAAAGTGTCGTTTAAAGTTTGCCACAAGCCACCTGGGAGACACACCAAACATGTGGAAGAAGGTGCTCTGGTCAGATGAAACCAAAATCGAACTTTTTGGCAACAATGCAAAATGTTATGTTTGGCGTAAAAGCAACACAGCTCATCACCCTGAACACACCATCCCCACTGTCAAACATGGTGGTGGCAGCATCCTGGTTTGGGCCTGCTTTTCTTCAGCAGGGACAGGGAAGATGGTTAAAATTGATGGGAAGATGGATGGAGCCAAATACAGGACCATTCTGGAAGGAAACCTGATGGTGTCTGCAAAAGACCTGAGACTGGGACGGAGATTTGTCTTCCAACAAGACAATGATCCAAAACATAAAGCAAAATCTACATTGGAATGGTTCACAAATAAACATATCCAGGTGTTAGAATGGCCAAGTCAAAGTCCAGACCTGAATCCAATCGAGAATCTGTGGGAAGAACTGAAAACTGCTGTTCACAAACGCTCTCTATCCAACCTCACTGAGCTCGAGCTGTTTTGCAAGGCGGAATGGGCAAAAATTTCAGTCTCTTGATGTGCAAAACTGATAGAGACATACCCCAAGTGACTTACAGCTGTAATCGCAGCAAAAGGTGGCGCTACAAAGTATTAACTTAAGGGGGCTGAATAATTTTGCACGGCCAATTTTTCAGTTTTTTATTTGTTAAAAACGTTTGAAATATCCAATAAATTTCGTTCTACTTCATGATTGTGTCCCACTTGTTGTTGATTCTTCACAAAAAATTACAGTTTTATATCTTTATGTTTGAAGCCTGAAATGTGGCAAAAGGTCGCAAAGTTCAAGGGGGCCGAATACTTTCGCAAGGCACTGTACCTTATGACCAAGAATGCTCCTACCTAGGACTTCAGAGTTACTTATGAAGTGTCCTACTCTCACTTTCAGCAAGAAGTCCTGCTCCTAAGAACGAGTGTAGTGTCCCCATTTTACAATACTCAGAGCTGCAAAGTTGACAATATAGTGACCTGTTGTAGTTTTTCTGAAAAGTGAGTTTTGGAGTTTTAGACAGTAGAAACGTTGAAATGCCAACATCAGCACCACTTGTCAAATGAAGGCTTTATGTGTATAGACAAGAAGCTGATGATAGGTTCGTTAAATGCTTTAATAATGTGCTTTATACCAATTCTCTTTCTGTGATAGGCTGTAAGTTGATTGGAAAGCTGCACATAATGAGACTCACCTGTGTTTGGGAATATGCACCTCACCAAAATGTGCACATTCAAAATGTAATTTAGAAAGGGAAACTGTGTGGAAGCGTGCATGCTCACGGTTTTATAAATCTGAGTATTTTTTGGTGTAGATCCTATGCATTGTTAGATTAGATTAGATTGGATTCAACTTTATTGTCATTACTCATGTACAAGTACAAGGCAACGAAATGCAGTTTAGCATCTAACCAGAAGTGCAATAACAGCAGTGCAGAGTATCTGCAGTCTGTACAGTCAGAAATAATTTACCGATGGATATGTGCAATTGATATTTACAGTAAGATATGTAGGGTAATGTATGGTGTACAACAGACTATGGATTCAAATTACAGTAATGGACAGGGTACATTAAGCTTATGGAACACTAGTGCAATGGGATGAGATGGAATGAAACAGTGCAGAATAAGAAGACAACAATAAGTTACATGAGTGAACAGTTCTATGGATGTAAATAGTGCAAAGATAAAGATAAATATACAGTATCAGCATATGAACAGTGTGCAGATGAATACAGACCTGTATTCTGTGAATATGTGAGAATTAACAAATCACTTCAGTGTTACAGGTAACAAGTGTATTGCATTAGTCCCAGGAGGAGAGATGAGAAGGGGTGAGGTTTGTGTAGTGGTATAGAGGAAGGCAGTGGGGGGGTCAATGAGGGACAGAGTAGAGTAAAGAAACAGCTGTGGGGAAGAAGCTGTTCCTGAGTCTACTGGTTTTGGTTCGGAGGCTGCTGAAGCGCCTCCCAGAGGGCAGGAGGTCAAACAGTTTGTGAGCAGGGTGAGAGGAGTCCTTGAGAATGTTGCGAGCCTGTCAGAGATGGCATTCCCTGTGGACACCCTCAATGGCTGGAAGTAGAGTCCTTGTGATGCGTTGGACAGTTTTCACCACCCACCACAACACCTTGCAGTTAGAGACAGAGCAGTTTCAATACCAGACTGTGATACAGCTGGTCAGGATGCTCTCGATGGCACAGCGGTAGAAGTTCATCAGGATGGCTGAAGACAGGTGGTTCTTCTTCAGTGTCCTCAGGAAGAACCTGCTGCACATTCCCACCCATCCCATAAACTTTGCATTGTGATAACATCCTGGAAATAAAACTCACTTTTTAAGTTATACAAATGGATTAAGAATTGATAATCCAAAGAAGAATAACTGACTTTGTTTGAAGTACCAGGTGTCCTGTCTACAATTTTAAAGACATGTCTTTTAATGGTAATTTGTGATCCAAATGCTTTTTGGGCCACAGGAAGATTGGTTTTCTTCCAATATATGAGTGGCCACTGGGGGAAAATTGGCAACAAGGCTGTTGTCGCTCATTGTTGTCGCTGATGAGGCCTTTCACTGTGATGCCATCTGCAAACTTGATGCACGTGTACAGGCCTGCAGTCATGGGTGAAAAAGCAGATTTCGCCAGCACATGTGGAGCATCTGTCTCCTCCTGGAAGAGAGCACAGAAGAGTGGGTTATAGATGGGTGCCAGAGGTGGGGTGATTAAAAAAATGGGTGGTCTGAGAGAGGTGGGGGAGTTTATGAAGGAAAAAGAGACAGAAACCATTATGATGAATTTAAGTGAAAGAGCAGAAAGGTCATGAACACAAGGCTCCGTGCCATAGAGGGGAGAGATTTAAGGTAATGCAGCAGGCGAAAGAGGGTGCTCGAAGCACTTCATGACGATGGGTGTGAGTGCTACAGGTGGTAGTCATTCAGGCATAGTGGGGTGGAATGTTTTGGCACTGGCACAATGGAGGTGGTTTTGAAGCATGTCGGCACAACTGCTTGGACGAGGGACAGGTTAAAAATGTCTGTAAAGATGCCAGCAAGCTGTACTGCACATGCCCTGAGCACGTGTCCAGGA